TGTTCCCCTTCGTGCCATGGGCTGTAGCTGCTACAACGATTAAGCTCCCACTTTCCCCAGTCTCTGTAAAAGGAGTACTTCCTTGGCATGCTCGAAGTTGATGGTAAAAATGTGAAGTCTATACCCACATTGCACTTAATAAAATATGTAATATCTGTGCAACACTGTTATTGAAGGGATGCTAAGTAAGTGATGTTTCTGTACTGTGCCTAAATGCTTCTTGCACATATTATTTTGCATCTAACATTTTGACCAAAATGCCAATTGCTTTTTATTTTTCTCAGCAATAATGACTTTTCAGAGCCTGAACATAGTTTGGTTTAATTCTTGCCTTAGTTTTGCTAAAAGCTAAGTCAGTGGTGACGGCAGATGGTGACAGCAGATGGTGACAGCAGATCAACACAAAGGATCCTTTTCAGTTGTCAGATAAGAATCTGAAGTTTGATTGATATTTACCAAAATTTTCATTTTAAATTTATTAACTTGAGGAGCTCAGTATAGGATTCACTTTAAAAAAGGCACACCCGCAATACCATAGTGGAAGGTGCGGTTGAATGGAGTCGCGCTTTAAGCAGGGAAAATGGTTCAACCTTAAAAAGTCCATGCTGGGGTCCAGCCATCAAGTGTCCCGTGTTAGTGTGCGTCACTGGACTAATGAAAATACAACATTGTTTTCTCTCTCTGGTTCTGAAATCGGAGACTGCATATTGTTGTCAATGCCAGAAGGAACAGAGACTAGATCTTGGTTTAAATCGTATATATTTAAAGGCTTTTTTTCCCCAGATGTATGTATTAATTGGAAAACAAACTGGGGGGAAAAAAATCCTTTGAAATAAACCAGATTCCTAACGGAATAAGAAAACTCCCTCCAGTGCATTTTCTCCCTCTGTGTCAGCTTTTATAGTTCTGTTTCTGGCACGCATCTTTTGAGATGTCTTTAAAGATTGTTAAGAAATTTTCTCTTACATCAATAAACAATTTTCAGAGCCTGAGCAAAGCTTTAATAAAAAGCATCTTGCACAGAAGATTGGTGACTGGGGAGGGAGAGGGGCAGAAGAGGTCATAGGGAGGGAAGCACAGGGCTGCTTTGTAACTTGTTTTTTTACTTTCTAAGATCACCAAAATGCAAAGCTGCATTTCAGGCTTGTAAACAATTGTTTTTTTCAGGAGAAGAAATGCTTGTATAGGGCATGTTTGTGGAAAGATGTGTATTGTGAACTGCAATCGGTAACTTCATTTGCACTTGCAGGGTTGCATTTATTAATGTCACACTGTCATTAAGTTGCCCTGTCTCCGACTGGCTCAGGCTGTTAGCTAGCACTCAGTAAATGGTGAAGAACAAAATTTGAAGGAAACCCTTAGAGGTTCAGATAGTGCTATAGGAAGCCCCTCCCAACAATACTTGAAAAGCCTGGAAAATGTACAGTAGACCAAATGTTTTGCTGAAGCTTTAAATGCTAGCAAAAAGCTTTCCAAGTTTTTACTGGCAAAAAGCTGCTGGACTCACCTGCTGGTTTTTTCTTTCCCCCTTAGGGGTGTACAACGAACAGTAAGCGGGAATACCTCCATACAGAGTTCAGCTGAGCTACCAGCAAAATTCCTGTCTGAGAGCATATTGCATTACGGGCTCGGCAGACCAGTAATGCTCTCTCGACTCTCTTGTTTAAGCATCATGACAACACTACAGGCTTTTTCCAAAAACACTTTGGGGTAGGGAGACGGGCTGTGTGTGTGTGTATGTATGTGTATGTGTTTGTCTGGAAGTCCGTGCCCCGAAGGTGGAGGGAGCAAGTTTCACATGATGCACCTTCAGGATTGAAGGTAAATGAAATACAGGATGCACATCTGGAACTACTATACTAATGAGAGAATTAAGAGAGCACGAAGCAAGCATGGAGCGTACCCATAAAACAGAAGGTCAACCTTTTTTTAGCTCAAGGTCTAAGTTAAAAACCACGTTTTGGTAATTCATTACATACCCAGAATGTCTAAGGTATTGATTATTCACAGTGTGCCCAGGAGTGATGAAGGAATGCCACTTTTGATCCAAAAGGAGTGGAGATTAGCTGTATTAGCTTGGTGCTTTGATCATCAGGGGAGGAGGGGAGAATCATGGAGCACTAAATGCTTTTTTATACTTAAGTAGGAATGGAGAGTAGGGAAGAATGTAACCCTGCAGAGATTTTTAGGTGTTTTTAACAATAACTGACTGAAAATGTACGTTTTCAAAATACGCTGGGAGACTGTCTTACAGGAGGTAATCATTCCCACAGTACTAAAAATTGTTTATAGCAGATGTTAAAAAATGAAACTCTTTGTGTTTGAGTTTAGTTCCATCTATTTTGTGGTGTAGAAACAAGTGTTTGTTCTATGGGTTTTATTTGTATCATTTAGTTTTCCCTTTTTGTGTTGGTTTGTGTAAAAACAAACAACAACCAACCAAACAAAAAGCCCAAAGCAAATGAAAAAGTAAAAGGAAAGGAGAGGAATTCACAATATGAAATATATGTAGTAGTGGAAGATACACCCAGCACTTGAAAAAATGTGTATTCTTTTGTATTAGAAGCATCCTTGTCTTAAAATCT